GAGTCACTCAGTCAGCTGATGCAAGGGCGCCGAGAGGGATCTGTGCCAGTGTTCCTTCGCTTCCACCGCTGCTCGCTCGCTGTCGGTGCTATATGAATCGTTCGAATTTGTGAGGGATTTTTTTAAAGTTCGCTGTTTGATCGACACCATGAGTGGCTTCGACGAAATTCTGGGAACGGAAATCGAAGTTCGGAAAAGAACTTTAGATCAGCAATCGCTTGACACAGACAAGGACCTTCCAGATGCCGCGTTAGACTCGGATTTATTCCCCGAATTCAGTAAGCTCCTGGAAGACCACGAACCAGGGGACGATGACAGCCAGGGATGCCCACTGCCAGGAACGCCGGAGGACGAGTCCCTCATCGACTCAAAGGAGGTAGGAGAGAAAGGAGGAAGCCAGCTCTTTGTTGTGCCACGACCCAGGTGGCGATAGGCCTACAGTCGCTCTAGCCCTAGCTGGTCCTAGGGTGACCTTCACGCCCCCCCCGCCCCCCCACTCGCGACCTTTAATAAGGTGCGGGCGCCGAGGTGTAGAGGACGTGGCTGGCGCCTGTGGAAACAGCTGGCCTTCTCAGCCACTTGTGCCCTCTTTTTCAACCTGCATGAGACACTTTTCCTGTTAATTGTCAATTTGAGTGGCTTGCATGATTTACTAGCCATTACCATTTGGCTGAAATTACCATGTTTAAGCACATTAATAAATTTGCATATAGTATTGGCCAATTTCAGAGTTTGTGTTGAGGGCAACTTGTTTGATGATCCCCCCCTCCCCCCTGGTGTGTTGTAAGAGTTGTGTAGGGTTGTGCTGTCACTTATTAGCGATCTCTTTGTTTTTCTGTAGTTTCAAGTTTGGTTTTGATAGTTTAGCCCAGTATTTTCCCCCAGAATTCTGTTGTATGTTCCCCGGCACCATGGCAAAGATTGTCGTCTTCTGATTTGAGAGAATCCAACGTTTACTTATGGTGTATTAGCTTAGTTTCCAACTTAGCAAACTCATTTGCATGTCATGTATGGGGAAGTAGCATATATTTTATAGAAAGGCAACACAAATATCGTATGATAATTTTCTACTGATTATAGAATGGAAATGTAAAATGTTTTTTCTTACAACTATTAACTTGTATTGTATACAATGTCCCCAGTCTTTATAGTTGCTTTTATGTCTAGGTCAAGAAACATCTGTGATGTATATATTGGCTGGAGATATAGCATGGACTGGTGCCTTACTTGACGAGAACTATCCGAGGTGCAATATCATTGCATATCCTCTACTAGAAACCGTAAAGCAGTCACAGATACTTCTTTGTGATATGACCATCTACTCCAGTTGTCTAACCAAGAAACCCTTCATGGTAAACAAATGATATTGCCATTGTTTATGATTGACTTGGAAGTTAAAGTGAAGCTTCAGTAATTTTTCACCAATTTTTTTGATTGGTCATTGTTTATAGAGTAATTGTGTAGTCAGGATTTTCATTATTATTATTATTATTATTATTATTATTATTATTATTATTCAACAAATGGCTAATTTCCAAACTAAGCACATCTAGTAAAACCAAAGCAAATCAGACTTTTTGTTTGTCAGTGGAAGATGAAGACTGATTATTAGAGGACTCGTCTAGATCCTATTTTCACCAGTGTTACCATTAAAGAAAATGTATGGGGTAGAATATTATTTCGACAACTATTTAAAATCGGAGTTAATCTATATGGTATGGACACACTAAGCTAGGACAAATTGAAGATGATATTCCTGTAGAGGATAAAAAGTAGTTGATGGTACAAGAAATAATCTGCAGACATGAACAGCAATGCCACAAATGAGGGAAAAACACCAGAGAAAGCTCTGCTCACAACACGTCCACTTGGTGCTCCTGAGGTTCAGCTCTATCATGCCTTGCATACTGAGGTGAAGACGATGTTTCCCGGGGGATGTTGGGGAGGAGAACCCTCACCAACCGTCCCCATGGGTAGTGCCCAAAGTTTATGAAGTGGAGTTAGGGGCTTACTCTCTAGTGAGTGCATCCATCTGCTAAGAATTACCAAGAATGGCATGTTGTCAGAGCTAATGCATATATATACTAGCATCATTGTCTCTTTTCTTTTTTTCTTGTTTACTTTGCTACTGAATTCAGCAGGGGACCGTATGCAGTTCTGTGGTAGGGGGAAGGGGTTGCCAAGGGATAGGAGTTGTTTATTTGTGTATTTTGGGGGTGTTAGGGCCAAGGAATTGGGGTTCTTGTCCCCTGGTTTCATTCTTCCTCACCTCTTCTGTTCTTTTCTCCTGTCATTCCTATATATGTATTTCATCACACATGTTAATTTGTACAGATGAGTACTTGAAAGTTGTCCTCCTCTAAAGAAATTAGTATTTATTTAGAAAACATGTTGCTAATGAAAAAGTTGGTTTGCTTGTGATGTAGGTTGTCTAGATTTAGTACTTGTAAGTCTAGGAGGTCCATGTATAGCAAGTTTGTTGGTGGGTGTTATAAAATAACAATAAATCATTGTTTACATGTTGATGCTCCAACTGAGACAGACAAACTTTCGCAATGTAATTTTTGGCAATCTAAGAGCTTGTAAGCATTACCTTGGAATTAGTCAGAGTTGTTTTGCCAGGATAGACCTAAGCCTGATTGAACAAGTGAGAAATAGGAATTTTGTGTGTGTTTGTTATTTCAGGAGTATCTTATGTATTTTACTCTGATAAACAACATATGGAATTGAAATTATGTTGAATTCTAAGACATACAGTACTAGCTTTGTCTTTTGTGACTTTATTTACATCATGCAACAGCAGTTTACTATCAGATATGGAATTATTGCAAGCTGTATCATGCTAGAATATCTGTGGAGGAGGTTTGTTTGTTTTTTCCAGAGCTTTGAAGATGTGTAGGCTACAGGAATTGCTTAACTTCATATGTCATGTTTATTCATTATTCATAAATGAAACGTGTCATAGAATATATTAATTCCTTGTCATGTTTATGAATGTACAATATTTGTCAAAAGGTATACCTTTCCTAATTGTGTACAGTAATACAAAGAAGGAACCATTGTTGCATGCAATAATGAAGCTTCTGTTTGTCTTTGTTTATCTGTCTGTCTCTGTTTATCTATATATCCCTCTATCTATTCATGTCAATTCATCTGTCTGTCCTTTATCATGTATTGATAAGTAAGTGATATGTACTTATGGGATATTATTTCAGAGTTGTCACATCTCACTGACGGTAGAATGGCAAAAATACATACCATGTTCAATGGTGATTTTATTTTATAGATAATGTTCATAAATAGATGGCTTCCCAAGAGTTCAGGCTATGACTAGTCCTGCTTGATCTCACCTGTTAACCATTTTCCTTGATTTTTGGAAAGGTTTTTATATCATTTAATTCTTATTGCTATTAGTATTAGTAAAAACATGATGATGATCCTAATGTCTTTAATAATGATAGCAACAGAAAATATATTAATAACATTTGAAAATAATCAGAAAATTTGAGGAATGGGCAGATCAGGTGAGGTCAGGTAGGCCTACTAATTAACTCCATGGTGATGAGGCAATTGTGGGTATGTCAATTACCAGGTGCCATTGGGTCAGAATAAAGGTTTGGAACAACAACAAAGAATAGATTGCTTAGGAGCCTGTACTAGCACAACTTGACGAAGCAGGTGACCCTCCGCCATCCTCTCCACATTACCCATGCCCCTATCTTAGCCAAACCCCGCTCTGGCTCTCTTTTGGCTGCTTCTTCATCTTGTAATCTCTGACCTCTGACCGGGCCTGACGTACACAATAGCAACGACCGCTTACTGCATATTTCTTTATTTGTTGAATGGCAGTAGGTTGATTGTGGACATGTGAAACTGAGGGCTCTTTATGGAGAAGTACTCTATATCAGATATAGGAAAATTAGGATCTGAATTCTGTGGTAGTTTGGGATAGACTGGTGATAAGGCACTATTTGAGGGGGTTCAGAATATAATTATTCAGCCATATTTATTGTCATATGATACAAACACATGCACACACACAGACACGCACACGCACATGCACACACGCATGCACAACTTAAAGAAGATTTGATTTACTCACACTGACTGGTCTAATTACCTGGAGATGCTGGTAATAGACCCCAAGAACACCTGAAAAGCACAATTTGGTTTAAAAATCACCAGCAGAATATAAAGGTAAAACTACAGTCACTTCAAAGTCCAGAAATCTATTCTTGCTCATTGAAGATATGTGCCATAGCCTCTTGGCTTGCGCTCCAACAAATAGAACTGTCAGTTGCCTTGCAGATTTATGGTCCACTATCAGCTGGTTTGTTTAAATTGTGTGAGGCCTGACCCAATGAACATCCATTATATGGACATGCATATACACTGAAATAAATACATATCTATCAGTATAAACATGTATATCTACCCTGTAGATAGATAGATAATTGTATATATGTAGATAAATGTATGTCTGATAGAGAGACAGATATACATTTATTTTTGTGTATATGCATATCTATGGGTTGGGCCTCACACAATTTTCACGTACCGGCCGTAAGTCATCAGTTCAAGCTCTGCCTTGTATCCATAGGAAATGTTTCTCTGCCTTTCTTAGTTATAGTGAGAAGTCCAAAGATACAGCATCAGTTCTTGCCACATTCTGAATGATTACCTAAAAGTCAGTATTTACTATTTCATATGCTAATATTTTATCTTGCTAGTAATTGTAAAATCTGTGCATTCAGAGCCTCGCTTTTGTTTTTGTTGGCATGTTAAAAGCCCATTGAAATTAAAGTAATATATTTGTTTGTCATGTGGAAAGCCCATGAGATTTTTGGTGATGATAGTGAACGAGTAATGCCTGCTTTTGGCAGCGTTGAAAGAATAGATACTGTCAACATTGCGTATATCTGGCTGAAATGTTTTGCAGAACTGTATCAGATACTTGAACACCTGTGTCCTAAATATGGTGGAATAAGCTGTATTTCTAATGCAAGTTTGTTCATTGCTGATTTTTGTTGTCATGATCCTTGCATTCACAAATTAAGCATGTGTTCGTATTTGATGTTTATGTTAGTACTGAGACTGAGAATATAAATAGGACATTCATGCAAGTCCAAAGATGAGCTGAAACAGCGACTGTGATAAGAAATTTCATAGGTTTTCTGTCTATAGTTTGAAGTAACAATTTTTGTTAGATTTCCTTGACATGGTTTCTGTGTCTCCTTTCGTCAAACGTACTTGCATATTTATATAGATACCAAGTACCTACCTGCATATAAATGCACATACACACACCCTCTGTGTGTGTGTGTGTGTGTGTGTGTGTGTGTGTGTGTGTGTGTGTGTGTGTGTGTGTGTGTGTGT